GTCACTCTTTGTGGCAGAACATTTTTGAGGGTGATGAAGGTATCGTGTTTGCGCTTTGCCTGGCCATTAGTGTTAAAAAAAGTGAGCCGCGCACGGTGACCGTCAAGCTTCGGAAGAACAGCGTTCACAGTATTGATGTCTTCGTGTCACAGGCTCGCAACTCGCTGCTCACCGTCTCGGTTTTAGCGCATTGCCACACGTGGTCAAACTGCTCTAGGGTTATTGATTGAAAGTTTGTTACCGCGGGCTACCGTGCGGTGTAGCATTACAACCGGAGGCTCGCGCTGCGCCGTTGAAGCTCAATTGTCAGCGCGAGCCAGGACCGTTGCCGTGCTCACGGTAGCCAACGGCAGCCTGCGGTAATGCAATGCTAAAGCTGCCTATTACCGTAATCGGCGTGTTTAAGGGTTTGGTTTATTGCTCTACCAAAAATGCATATTTTAATATACCATACTTTTTTATTGTGTTATTTGCAACGTTGCGGCCCCTCTCGCCACAACTGCCCGTTCTAAGCTCTCGTCACGAACAGCTGGCTGACACAGACACGCTTAAAATGCTTCGGACGTTTCGTTATTTACTTTGTAATTACCTGAAAGCAAGTGCGTGTATTCTATCTTTTAAAAGTGCTTGGAATAAATGGTCATGTTCCTATACGGCTTTAAAACGCGAACCGAGTCCCGACGTCTATTGCTCTACATATCGTTGCGCGACCAGTTTCCTCCTACTTAGGGCAACGAATAGACTTTTCGTAGATCGTACGCTAGAGCTCTCATTATTAGCGGGAGCGTTTGCCGTCACGTTGAGCACAGATTGAGCTGGCGATCATGCGCAAGACCAGAAATCCGAAGCATATGCGATATATGAAAAGTCTCTAATGAAATTAAACATCACCTATTTTAACGCGCTTACTTTTTTCGTTAAAACGGCTTCACGCATCAAGGCCGACAGCCCTTTTCCGCGCCGCCGCCTCCGCTGCCGTCCCCGTTCCTCTAGTTCTCCGCTCGTCCGCGGGAGGGCGAGCGGCGCGCTGGAGTTGCGAAGAGCAACGCGCCTACGAAGAGCAACGGCGGGAACAGACACAAAAATGTCAGTGGCGACGGCGGGCGTCAAACACCACCGATGAAGATCATGTACAAAACGCTAAGCGCATGCGGCGAACCAGACAGGACGACGACCGTCGCGGGGCGGAGAATGCATCACAAAGACGCAGGTACCATGCTGCTGAATTGGACAACTGTATACTCTAAATTGAAAAGAAACTTTCTGGACAGACAGTTTGGGTGTGGTTGTAGGGAGTGTAATCGGCTGTGGTTCGACAACGACTTGACCAACATCGGCAATGTGCGGGATCCTGCAAAGCGGACTCGTACGCTGCAAGTGTTGTCGGTGACCACTTGCACTTGATCGATGACCATCGATCAAGGCAATAAATATGTTCGTACCTTTCTTCAAAATTCTGTGTCACGTCTGTGTTGTGTGCTATTTTTTTCTGCAGGTTCAGTGATTTTTATTTTTTTGTAAGTATATTCGAAACAGAAACGCTACATCCTACATGACTTTGATATGATGAACACCTTTATAAGTCGAAACTCGTTCTACAACCTCAGGTAATTAAACGGCAATGCAAACAGTTGCTTTCCCGTGAACGTTGAAACCGCATCAATGAGAGTTGGGGGGTAGTTGGTACATCGTTCTTTTGGCAAAAGCGCCGGAAGACAAGGACAGAAAGACAAGTGCTTGTGCTGTGTATCTTCCTTTCTGCCCTTGTCAAAATGTTAAAACCAAGTTCACTACCGTGCTGAATTCACCTCGACGAGGCCTACCTCCACCGCGTGGGATCCGGTCAAGATGGACCCGGACTAAATGGCCCCGGACAAGATGGTCCCGGTCAAAACGGCCTCGGACAAAAAGTTCCCAAGTGCAAACCCGAACAAAATTATCCCAGGCAAATTTTGAGGCATAGTTTGCTTACTCTTCAAAGGTTAGTCGATTGTTTGTGCTTGCTGCAAATTGGACATAGAAAAACAATATTTTGCTGTATACTTGAGTGATGACACGCTAACCAAATTAAAGTTTATATATTCATTTCACAACACGTTGCATGGCACATATGAAAACGTGGTGTGCTCGTTATCCAAGTGGCCATCTACATGAATATGTATCTGTGCTGTACCCATCGATCTCTGTGGCACGTCAGACAAAGTTGGTAAATTGTGTGCCCCCAAGGTCGACAGCGGCTTGCTCGTGGTAGCTCTATACCTCTCGCCTACAGCACTCACCAAATATTTCGCGCAAGACAAAGAACTTCATAGCAGTCATACAGGAAGACATCCCATTGACCTCGAGGAATGTGCACTTGCTGTTCTGCTGTGTCATGTCGGGGGAGCACGCTCAAGACTAATGCTGAGGAAATCAAAAACGCCGAGCAGTCTTCGACAGAGCCGAAAGCAAGTAGGATGACATCGAGAGTATCACGTGCTTTCTCAAAGTGTTGACTCTAACGCTGTCTCGTGCTCCCGCATTGCTCCTGCTGACCTGTGTCCTGGCACCGGCAGAACTTAGACAAAGTGGAGCTTCCAGAAGCGGTTGGCGAGAATACCACAATATATATATATATATATATATATATATATATATATATATATATATATATATATATTCCTCAGATTGCTTGGCACGGTATATCGCAAAATCAAAATACTTCAAGAGAGGAGGAGGAGGAGCAGGAAAGGAGGGGAGCAGGAGGAACAGAGTAGGAGGGGAGGAGGACAGGGCATACGGATCAGGAGGATAAGCATACCCTCCTCTCCGTACCCTTCCCTCCTCCCCCTCAAGAGCTGCGCTCTAATTCGACGCTACAGGGAGTTGCAAACGTCTTTCATTTTTGTTTTCCGAAGACAAACATGCTAGTGCCTGCTTTTGCCTTTCATGTTTCATGGCGATATATCCGTTCACCCAGGCATCTTTCCATATGGATTAGGCATTTCTATTTGCGGCTTTCAAAGGGGGTGACTTTCTTCACTCTCGCATAGACACACAAAAGCGCCGCGCTGTTAATGTTATGTACATCTTCCCATTTTGGGAATGTTACTTTCTTTGCGGTCCTTTTTTATTTGGAGTTTTATCCAATCGGTCCACGCGGCAGATCGAGAACACACCAGCTAGTCCCAGTCAAAATCAATAGATTCCAGAACTACTGACTTCTCAGACTTGTCTTCGTTGTCCCCGTCCCTCCTGGTACGAGCTCTTAGCTTCATGGCGGTCGATGCCCCGACGATCGCCATCTTGTCCTGATCTTCAGTTACGGACGAATCCTTCTGTTGTACTTCTTGACTGCACTCACACGGACCACTCTGATCAGTCTGAGTTCCTGGAAAACAGCAAAGACGGAGTTACGAGATCTGAAAGGTGGTCACCTCCGTTAACTAACTGGACATCCATCTCAAGAGTTTTAAAGCGATAGCGTTATGGACGACACTCTGAAAAGATTTCGTCCTCGCTGTCGCCGCCGCGCACGCGAAGAATGATAAAAACCTTTTTTCTCTCCCTTCTTGGCGCGAGGAGAGGGAAGTCGGGACTTCCTGCCGGCCGTGCCGCTCAAAGAGGGCGAAGAGGGCAGCACTGGCGTTCCCCAAGAATTGCGGGACGAAGGGAGAATCACCGTGTCGTCTGAAGGAAGGACTTGCTTTCAAACATTGCTCGAGTTATGCGAAAACCCACTTTGGTAGTTTCCAGTTGCTACGCGTAATGTTGGATGGTTTTAGAAACTTCCACCGCGCGTACCGCACTTACTTCACGTGCCACTGGTGGCAGTCGTCAGTGGCATCCGCGACGCCAACCACGACGGCTATGGGAATTAATCGCATGGCACCTCCGTTCTCAGGTACGTGACGGCACCATTCCAGCCGCATTGCGCGACCGTGTTTCAGCTATCGCCTCCGTATCTTCGCACATTGTAAACAAAAAACACAATTTTTTCTTTTTTTGGTGGGCAGGATTTTGAGATTGGCGGCCACGAGCACGGAGTTTGTTCGAAGGCTTTCGTTGCGCAATGTCTAAAGTAAAACGAAGTGTGTTGCACTTCGCTTTGCATGACCGTGCACGCGGGCCTAGCACTTTTATACGTACATACAGGGTGTTTCACGAAAGGTGGAAAAATTCGATATTGCGAAAACTACCCATCGCACCATAAAAGGCTTATGTAGTTTTGGTTCTAGGCCAGGGGCCTATTTCGAAAAATGATTAAAGTTCGGAGTAATTAAATTGTTGATTTTTTCGTGTAATAATTTTTTTACATATCGAGTTTAAGGGCACTGTTATGATTGGGAAACTTACTGAGCATCATCGAAAAACGCTAAATAAAAAGATTTGAGTGCCCTGCATTTTACAGCTTTCTGA